TGTAGCTGATTGGATTCATTGGGTTTAATGGACAAATATAACTGTGTGTCATCAGCATAACAATGAACATTTATCCCATTAAGTTTAATAATTTTACCTAATGGAAGAATATATAAAGTAAAGCGTATTGTTCCAAGCATTGAACCTTGAGGAACTCCATGACTAACTTTGGTGTATGATGAAGATTCATTATTCAGTTCTCTCTTGTAAATGAGTTCCTGAGGCTCAATGGGATTAACCTGTCCAAATAAAGGCTGAATGAATTATTTACATTTACAAACTGGAATCTATCAGATAGATATGATTTAAACCATTTTAGATTTGTTCCTGTAATTCCAACATCATATTCAAGTCTCTGCAGTAAAATATTGTGATCAACTGTATCAAATGCAGCACTGAGGTCTAACAGGACCAGTAGAGACACAAGACCATTGTCTGAGGCCATGAGAATATCATTAGTTACTTTTACTAGTGCTGTTTCTGTGCTATGATGAGCTCTAAACCCTGACTGAAACTCTTCAAACAGATTATTAATTTGTAGATGATCACGCAACTGACCTGCAACTAGTTTCTCTAGAATTTTAGATGAAAGTTAGATTAGATATAGGTCTATAGGACTCCTGAGTGAAGGTTATGGTTCTTAAGTAAAGGTTCTTACCTTTAGTCCATTCTTCTTCCTTTCTTGCCTTCCTTCACTTCCTCTTGTCTTCTCTTCCTGTATTCCTTCCCAACTTATCTTTCCATCCCATTTCTCATTTTCCCTTATTTCCATTTTACCTTCTTTTCATTATATACTTCCTATCTGTCCATCCCTCCATCATTTCTGTCCTACCATTAGTTTTTTCCTGTCCTACCCTCCATCCTCTTTGTCCTACCCTACATCCTACCCTCTGTCCTCTCTTTTATCTGTCCCATCATCTGTCCTCTTGGTCTCATTGCTTGTCCTCTGTGTCCCAGCCAGCTGTCTTGTTGGTAGTTTGCTCTTCTTGTCCCTGGATGCAGGTCTTTAGGTCTCAGTTTTAGACCAGACCTGTCTTATATTAGACCGTCAACATTCGGCGTGACTAAACGTTCTG